AATTCGGAAATGTTGGTTTTTGAGGAAAGGGGAAAACCGGAGTACCCGAAGAAAAACCTCTCGGAGCAGGGGAGAGAACCAACAACAAACTCGACCCACATATGGCGTCGACGCCAGGATTTGAACCCGGGCCACATTGGTGGGAAAAGAGTGCTCTCACCACTGCGCCACCCTTCCTCCCCGAAGGGTACTTACTAAGCTTGCTTCGCTCGCTCGAAATGCTACTCTCGATCTAGAATCCTGGGAAAAATGAGAAGTGAAAGTCGAACGTAGCCCTCAAAGCAGCAGGCGTATTTTGCAGCGCGATCAATGAATGTTTTTCGGGAATAATGCTATCCTGCCATCTTGCACCTTAAAACTACCAAAGATTTGGGGCGAGTCAAAACCTGAATTTCCCTCAAAAAACGCTTGCTCTGCAAGTGCTCCGCAGGCTAAGTCGAACAGAGGACTAGAGCTCAAAGCACATCTTATTTTCTACTTTTTTCAACTCTTTGCAATACTTGCACGGGATGCTTAACCACTGAGTACCGTCTTGTGCAATTTGTCTCCTCGCAGTTGCGAGACAAGTAGAAGGAAACATTACCTCTTGGTACTTAACTCTTTAAGCCCTAAGAGTTACACACATCATGAATTTTCTCTCCCCATGGAAAAGTTTTGTTTGCGGAGAAGAATCCGGAAACCACTGAAAAAATTTAGCTTGAAATCCGGAATACAGCTCAAAGAATCCGGAATTCCACTAACGTTTGGAATCCAGAATCTATGTTCCAGTGACAAAGACTGGAATCCAGTAGCTAGAATCCGGAATGAACGGGGCGGAATCCAGAATTCAATACTTACCTGGATTCGTCTTCATGGAGCGAAATTTTCTCTTATAACATCGATATATGATCAAGAGAACTAGAGAAATTTCACCGGCGAATTGGAAAATGCTGCGATCGTCAGAAAACTTGTTTTTAAATAACTCTTTAAGGACATGTTAGAGGTCATCCGTCTGGATAATTTTTACGGGGATATTTGGGGAGAGTTAGGCAGCAAATAAAGGTGGAAAACGTTTTCCTTGTAAATTTAAACTCACTCAGTAGGGTTTTGAAACGTTTTCACGCTACAATTTATTAAGGATACCTTAATTCATCTAAAAGGAAACGAAAAGATGAAAACTGTCTCTAGACAGATTTAAAAACAGACAAAATTTTCATTTTCAAAATTTTCCTACCGTGATCATGATTGGCTGACGGCTTTTACCCTGATAGGTAGATTTAGCCACCGTAGGGAGATAGAGAAATCTAACAAGTTTTATTCTGGAAAAAGTTTTGTGCACTGTTTGAAAACGAAGTAAGGAGTTGGGGACCTTTTTTTCTCGATTCAGGTCTCGGTTATTTTAGGGAAAATATTTCCCACATTTTGTCGGAAAACAGAAAGCAAGGGGTCTATTCAAACTTTCACATCGTCTTACAATTTACTCCGTTTGCCCTCAAACTTAGTGTTAGCATTGCTTCCTTTTTTTTTAAAACTCAAAATCGTCCCAAACCAGAAAAATGGAAAACAGTGCAAAGTATGTAAAGCTTGAGAGAAAGTGGAGAGTATTATATACGGTATATGTGATAGTCGCGAATGGAAGAATGCCCGACACATCCAATTCAGACTGGAGTTTTAGAGGAGCTCTCCTTGGGTTCAGAAAGGGTGTTGAGGCCATTTGAGGTCACCACTTAGCAGTAAAGCTTTAGATATTGCGACATAACTGAAGAAAAGTCCATAAAGTTTGCTAAAACCTTGTCTCAACTTTATTTTTTACCAAAAATTAATATATTACCAAGACGCCGTAATTTACCAAAATTTTAAAATTAAGTATGATAAAATTTTTAATCGTATAAAAGCAGAAACTGACGTTATTGTCCTCGCCATATGCCAACTTAACTGTACTAATTTTATTCGCTTTAAAGAAATGATTTAAGTGAATTTGAGAGAAAAATAAAAATATTTTTATACATAATTGCATAAATTAATTATGTTATGCGTCCTTGCCACTTGATGGTTCATAAAAAAAACCTCCTTACTGAAACAAAACCTGCCTCAGTCGCTTAACTGCGGTAGAGGCGTAAGGTGTTGCGTTGCCTCAAGCGGGAGTAAAAATCGAAAGGGATTATTAAGAGCTATGTTTACGGCAAACGAAAAATGTCAATCAATACCACGTGACCAAGCGGTTACATTTAATGTCAAATTTAATGTGAGATATCTCGCGTTCGTCATGATCTCGTTTTCCTGTGGTACAAAGGCAGAAATTTTTTAGCTGTCACGAGCGACTGCCGATTAGCCGCCCTCGTTAATTTTATCAAGGGCATCTCGGCCGCAGGAAACTGGACTCCTCTAGACTCGTTTTCGTGCAGATGTCATGCTCGTGGAATAAGACGAACACGGATCCATAATCAATGATTATTACTAGTTTTTAAGAATAATCTAATACAGTTTTTGTCTGTTGAAGAACTGTTATCAATTTTATTATGATGTTAAAAGTCTGAGAATACAGTCGTCTCTCGTTGCACCTTCTCGTTTAAGGTCATTTCGCAATGGAGACGAGACGTCTGCGACAGAACGACATAAATTTCCTAAGCATACAAATAGTCGCCTGATTACACTGTGATTACTCCCCAAATCGTACGCCACTGAGTTCTATTACCATTACTTACAAGGTTGGATTTTAATCTTCAAATTCGAATACAATTTTAATCATGGTTTTGCTTTCAAGTCTTTTGGCCACGAAAGAAATTTTGCGATGAGAGTCGCGCTCTTCCACGAAGAATTTCTAAAATATTTTGGCTTTCGTTACTTTTAGGGGACCGTAGCTTTATAGGGGAAAAACTAACCGAACGCATGAGCAAAATGACAAGTGTTTGCGACAAAGTGACGAATGAATACGCCATATGTAGAATGTAGAACGAGAAATCTGTTTTAGTTTTTTTCTGTATCATTGTCGTTTGAATCTACGGTAAATTGCCTAACATCCAGAAAGTTACAAAGAAATGTTCCGACATAGTTAGCGGCTAATAGACGCTTTCAGAAAGGACCATTATTTGCACATCATTCGTTATTTTTTGTCGAACACAAGTCATTATTTTTTTCGTCGTTTTAAGCTCGTCCAGTTCGTTCGAGGGTTGTCCAATACACCCGCACCGTATTACATCTGGAGTGTGCCTTTCTTGGTTTTTGCGCTTGTGTTGGTTTATGGTTTATTGAGGAATGTGTGGTTTTGCGGTTGTGTTGGTATATCGTTTATAGAAAGAGGAATGTGTGGCTTTGCGCTTGTGTTGGTTTGTGGTTTATAGAACGAGGAATATTACATTTGGAGTGTGCCTTTCTTGGTTTTTGCGCTTGTGTTGGTTTATGGTTTATAGAACGAGGAATGTTACACTTGGAGTGCGCCTTTCTTAGTTTTTGCGCTTGTGTTGGTTTATGGTTTATAGAACGACGAATATTACATTTGGAGTGTGCCTTTCTTGTTTTTTGCGCTTGTGTTGGTTTATGGTTTAGAGAACGAGGAATATTACATTTGGAAACGACGAATATTACATTTGGACTGTGCCTTTCTTGGTTTTTGCGCTTGTGTTGGTATATCGTTCATAGAACGAGGAATGTGTGGCTTTGCGCTTGTGTTGGTTTATGGTTTATAGAACGAGGAATATTACATTTGGAGTGTGCCTTTCTTGGTTTTTGCGCTTTTATTGGTTTATGGTTTATAGAACGAGAAATATTACATTTGGAGTGTGCCTTTCTTGGTTTTTGCGCTTGTGTTGGTCTATGGTTTATAGAATGAGGAATATTGCATTTGGAGTGCGCCCTTCTTGGTTTTTGCGCTTGTGTTGGTTTATGGTTTATAGAACGAGGAATATTACAGTTGGAGTGCGCCTTTCTTGGTTTTTGCGCTTGTGTTGGTTTATGGTTTATAGAACGAGGAATATTACATTTGGAGTGTGACTACAGACTGTACGGATCGAACGAACCGTAACGCATTGTGCCCTCATGTAATAATGAGATGCACGCTCCGTATGTCTGCGGACTGTACGGATCGAACGAACCGTAACGCATTGTGCCCTCATGTAATAATGAGATGCACGCTCCGTATGTCTACGGACTGTACGGATCGAACGAACCGTAACGCATTGTGCCCTCATGTAATAATGAGATGCACGCTCCGTATGTGCTCAGCATACGGACCGTGAGTCCTAGTGACGGTTTGTGCAGAATGTACGGTCCGTTAACTGCTCTTAACGGTCCGTAACAGTGCAGCAGTATTGGACATGACTGGTTCGTTCGCCCACTTACTTGTTTTCCTCTTAAGAGCGACGGTCCCCTAAAAATAACAAGGGCCGATATTTTAAATGCAAAGATCACCACTTCAGTAGGTTTTTTGCCTTTTTGATTTACTTAGCATCCATAACATTCCAGCTAAAACAACCGCGTTTACGAATCAATCGCGCATGCTGATAGTCTCCCTCCCAAGCCGTTTAGGGAAGGACCGTTGCGTCCGAGACAAAAATGGCGGCTTGGTAGACATGTCCTCTACGCGCGCAGCTGATTTTTGTGTCGTCACGAAGGGTACCTCCCCATAAACGGGAGAAAGTGAGCGTTGCGTGACGACAAAAATAAAATTAGTATTGAGAATCTAATACGGTGACTCTAGTCACAACTGCAAATTAAGGTAAATGACCATAAACAAAACCTCGCCACCTGCGCTTTATATTTTCTATATTTCAATATGCCGCCTGTTAGGAAAGTAAAAAAGCACGAAACAATCTATTATTGGAAACTGCCTTATTAGGACTGGGGACTAGATACTTCTTCTATCATTATACGGGACACTGAAATCCACCCAGTGAGAGCCTCTCCCAAACGGTACGTACGACACTGTCCTATCCATAATTCCACTCTAACCGTGCCTTGTGGAATGTTTTCACAGTACCCCTCAAATGATCGATGATGAGGCAGATCAGGGTTTACAGGCCCCTTCAGTGATTGTTAACAATAGCCTCAATCGTCATTGGTCCATTGCATTCGTTTCCGTTGAACTTGAAATACCACCGATTACACGCCCCATGACCTATAACCCTCATGTTTCCCTGGAAGGAGACTTTGAGCGCTGAATTAGACTGCAGTTTGTTAAATGCACAGTCCTGGAATAAAATCAAACAAACTGTTGTAAATATAAGGTAGGCAACAGTGTAATAATTGATACTAACTGTTCCGGTCAAGGAATACTTCCTAATTATTTTTAATTCTGTAATAGCCTAAAGTTTTGTTGTCCCTATGTAAGTGGCCAGAAACCATTACTCACCCACGATGGCAAAGTCTTTTATTCGTTCAATGGAAAAAAAAAAAAAGGTAATGGGAAATGTAATTTAATTATTGATGTAATGTATTGCCAAATGGTAATAATTCTAATAAAGTGCATGGGAGAGGCGAGGGAACATTCCTCACTGATATGTTTTAATTCTAAAAGGAATGAATTTTCTTTGGAGTATGTTACTGGTCTTATTCTAATTACCTTGATCTTTCCGTTATCAGTACCGCTGTCTGAATTCCACACACACTGTTTCCAGTTGGTTTGTGGCACTACACTTGCTTGACTTGCTTTGGCGCTTTCTCCTTTCTCTCCTTTGTTTCCTTTTCTTCCTGGGTTTCCCACAATGCCTCGCTCTCCTTTTATTCCCACAGCTCCGGGCACTCCTTTCATTCCCACAATGCCTCGCTGTCCTTTTATTCCCACAGCTCCGCGCTCTCCTTTCATTCCCGCGATGCCAGGCTCTCCTTTCATTCCCAGAAGTCCCTGTTGACCTTTCATTCCGTTAATTCCTCGGGGACCACTCTTCCCAGGGGGTCCTTCGCGACCTCTGTCTCCTCTTGGACCCGGCATTCCTTGTGATCCTTTATCACCAATTTGTCCTTTTACACCTT